GAAGTGACCGCAACCAAGCTAACCGGCACTGTGATTATGTATGATAGCGACGCGATTGCAGGTCATCACCCGGACGGACCTGATCGTTTCTCATCGCTATAGAGTCGTCGTCGCCCCCGCTACGAAGTGGATCTTGAAGCCCCGCTGAGCGGCAGAAACTTATCCATTGTGGTCGCGATCCATAGCCGATCTTTCTCAGGCTATTATCGCTTAATCTGTCGTAAAAGTGCGAGATCATCCTTGAGAGGCTAGAAAAAATGGTGGAATTTCTGCGCTCATCGATCTCCACCCTTTTTATTATTCTACATTTCATATAGGCGGATGTGATGTAGTGGCAAGTGGCACACTATCACCCACACATGGTTCGGGATCAAATCCCGGATTGATAACCGCCCAGGCCAACCAACCTTACATCCCCTCTTCATTGGTTAGTTGGTAACAGGCTCGTCTGGGAGGATAAAGGCACTAACCTACACATGAGCTGGTCAACACGATTCACTGCATAGGCCACATACGCATTCACAATCCCACTATGATCCTATATGGAAGTTGAACGTAGGGTTTATCTCAAAAATCGGATTAATTATCAGCAGAAGGCTTTGAATAAATATTTATAGCCATACTTGAACCAAGCTGAGGTCTAAAGTCGTTTGAACAGGATGAGTTCCTAATATTTTTTGGCTTCCAGGCTCTGACGAAGGCGACTGGCCGAAACGTTAGCTAAATAAAAAATTGTATCATCTTGGCCAAGGTTTCACAGAAGAGCACCTACAACACCCAAACGACGGTTCTGGCGCCTATTCTTGGGATGCGCCCCGCGTTCGACTTCCATGCAGGATCGTAGTCGCTTATTGATTGTGTATGTGACCTATACAGCTGATGTAGAAGTCAGTGCTTTATCCACTCAGATGAGCGTGGTACTTACTAGAGTCCTGGCTGGCTTTGGTGAGTATGGGTATCGGTCCAGCATTCGATACCAGGATCGTGTGTGTGAGACAGCACGCCACTTGAGTCTACACCACCTCGGCCTAGGAGTTTTTAAGTAATCCTATTGAATAATAGGTGCACATAGGATGATAAAAAAGAGAGTCAAAAAAAATGAGAAAAAAATATGAGAAAAAAAACTAAAACATTTTCGAGGACAGACAAACTGAAGACATGGTACAATACAGTGAAGATGAAGTTTTGAAAAAAATGAATATAGGTTGCACAAGTTGATAAGAATCCAAAATAAATTGCGATTTTCTTCAGGGAGGAATAGAAAATTTGTGGTTGCTAGACTGGTCATGATTTTTCCTCACATTTAATTTCTTTTAGACGTATCACAATGACAGACTGATGCTTGCAATAATGGGTCGTTTTCACTTCTTTGAACCAAAAGGAACTGTAACAATGAAGGGGGTAGAAGAAAAAAAGCCTTCTGAAAGGAAACGATCTGGCAGCAATCTTGCAATACAATGGAAGTTATTACACTGGTGAACAGAAAAAGAAAACTCTCACAAAGGGCTGTATCCAAGTAGATTCGCCTGGTGTTTTTCGTGAGAGTATCGTAAAAGGTAAAAATAAGAAAGTAATCGAACAGTTTCTGTTTTGCAGACCTTCCTGCACACATGGCTCGGTTACAGTTGTCATTACTAATTTCCTAACAAAGTAAGGGAACATGTGCAAAGACGGTTCCGGTCTTTTCGGGCATTTATACTGAAAAAAAATAGTTGCAAGGTGAATTGCAAGTGTAAAGTTTGCCCAAACTGTTACCAGATGTTGTCAAAAACGTGATTTTATTTTACACTACCAATCTTACAGTGGAGGAGATTAAGCCTTCACTGCATATGCATAGTCCGGGGATAGAATCCTGGATGGACAATCTGCCCAAGTCAACCGAACCTTATAACCCCCTGGGACCGAAAAATTGAAACCAGACCCATTTTGCAGGGCGAGAGCATGATCTTGGCTGTTCATCCTACCCTAAGTTTTAGGGTGTAGGTCATATACGGATAGTTGAAGATTAAATAATTCATTTTTATCGTTCAATGATGAGGTTGCTAGGTTCGAACTTAACTTGGCTTGGATACAAACCACTGCCCAAAATGGGACTCCCGGAATTCGTGAGTCAATGAAACTGCTACAGAAATCCAGGTCAAATCGTCAATCAGAGGAAAACCTTGAAAATGAATCAGCTGACGTAGGTTGTCCATCATCACTGGAACCTTCACTTTTACCTGCGATGTTTTGGCGATTTTGTCGGATGCGGCGATACCGCCACAATAAATGAGTAAACCAGTTTTGTGGAGCGAATACGCTTTGAAACTAGATATTTTCAATGGATCTCGTTATCACTGACGGTCACTCACTAGGTAGAGGAATGAGGGGGGGGGCATCTATGTAGGTGCATAAACCCAGAAAAGCTGCAGGTAGAACTTCGTCAGAGGGAGATACTGGATGGGACGGGACCGATGAAGCATTGGCAAGGTCGAGTGCCTTACACTTTTATCTCTGGCAAGAGTCTTACACTTTCGATGAGTCATTGCCATAAGGGGCTCATCATGTTCCAGCCACTACACACTTGAACATCGAGAAGAAAGCATCATGAGCAGTTGGCGGAACCCGTTTGTGTGGTAACGTCGTCATAACGCCGACATAAATGATCTATCAACTTATATTAGAACCGGTAAAGATGTAAGTAGACGTGATCAAACGATACAGAGTATCCGAAGCACGATATATGTGTTTGTAGTGGAACAGTAGGAGAGTTTTGTGGTAAAAAAAAGGAGCAGAGTGGGAAACATTATAGAGGGAGCATCTTTTGTGATTTCACGAATCACCTAACNTGGAACAGTAGGAGAGTTTTGTGGTAAAAAAAAGGAGCAGAGTGGGAAACATTATAGAGGAAGCTCAGCGCATCTTTTGTGATTTCACGAATCACCTAACAAACTTGCCATCCTTTTGCCCAGAAATTGAAATTCTTCACGAAGTTGATTGTTTGAAATTTTATTTCTGATTTTTTACCCTTGTAATTGAATTTTCCCTTTTTTTAAGCAATATCTCCACCTGCCTTTATAGTTTTCTTGGAACGCTCATCAACACCCAAGTTCTCCAGCCAGCCTGAGTGAGTTTAGGTCAGAAGTTGCTCAAATTGACAAAGCTAATCATTAGGTCAGAAGTTGCTCAAATTGACAAAGCTAATCATTTCCTCAATGTATTATACTAGGGAATTTTATATTCAAATTTAACAGCTTTTTTATACATAGGAGTAACAACTTTGACTTAAGCACCACCTCAGGACCTTCAGAATACCCAATATAGCAAATAAATAAAAAGACGATTGAAGTGAACCTCTAGAAATCGGGATGGGAAGTCAAGAACGCGGCGCTTCTTGAAAGAAACTGTTACTGTTTGACTCACAGCTTTTATCAATTTGTTATGACTTCATGAAAATCTTTTGTTCTGAATCAATTCAAATTGATTATCCCATTTACTTCCGTGTTAGCGTTATCCCATTAGCGTTATCACTTTTTCCCTGAGCATCCTTCCCGATTGCCTTGTCACAGTCATTTTGCTTTACAACTTAGTGAACAGTTACCTCGTTGAGATTCTTGATAACCTTTTAACTTTTAATCCTAATGTGGCAATTAAATTCTATATGTACCCTAGTTATCACTTTTTCCCTGAGCATCCTTCCCGATTGCCTTGTCACAGTCATTTTGCTTTACAACTTAGTGAACAGTTACCTCGTTGAGATTCTTGATAACCTTTTAACTTTTAATCCTAATGTGGCAATTAAATTCTATATGTACCCTAAAATTCCATAAATAAGAGCGGTTTGATTTACCGGTGAAAAATCAATTGGAAAAAATTGAAATTGAATGCAGTCACCCCTCTAACTTGATGGATGGATAAATAAAAATCGGAGGAGAAGTTTAGAAGAAGCTCCGCCCCTCAACCCTAAACCCCGCCCACTTAATGAACAATTCATATAGAAAATAGCGATTTTAAGGGACCGCTCTTATCTATGGAATTTTAGGGTAACAATAATATAAATCTCAGAGCTCTACCGTCTTCGAAAATTTCAATCGAAAAAATGAAAAATTGTTGACAGGATAGATTCTGATTCATGTGTTACCATCTTCGCTCTCATCTTCACCACTGATAAAATGCTTTTCAGTCTGCTCGTTGATCAGTCTCGTTTGTAGTATGTAGCATTCAGCATCCGACTTGATTTCCAGAATCGCACAGGCGTTTGATTGCGTAGATGGCCTACACAATGAAATGGGGGCCAGACGATGTTCGAGCCACGGCCTCCAATCTCATATACGACTGGTAACAACTAACTAGACCACACATATTTGGCAATATTCATGTTTTTCTCTGTTTATTGTTTTGGTCCCGATAGCCGCTTTATTACCTTCATGGATTTGGATGCCCTCACACGTTTTTTAACACGCTTCATATTTTTATTTATTTTCCTACTTGCGATGCTTTTCACGCTTAACACTTCCAGGGCTTAGTTGACACATATCTCCTCGTTATTTTTTCTTCGTTCTTTCCAAATTCATAAACATATCCGTATTCATTACACTGCCCACTGGCCCTAAATCACTGACCAACCGTGCTCCAAAACACTCTTTCGGAAGCTCCAAACCTTACAAAAATGCGATCCAAACTCAGAAAACACTGTCTAAAGGCAGCAAAAATGTTTATTGCATTCGAAAATTGCATAAAATGTACATTTCGGTATTACTTATACTGAAACATCCACTCGAAGGCGGAATTCGTGGGGGGAGGGAGAGCTAAGCTTGAGGGCTTGAGGAATCCCACTAGGAAGGATGCGGGTCAAAAGTCTCATTCTGAGTTGATGGTGACTTCGTTTACGATTACCTCTGATTGGTAAGGGGATCCTAACCGTATCCCATGAGAAAAAACAGTGATTCCCTTGGTGGCTTACTGCCTGACTAGATCATAAAACCGAGAAAAGGGTAAGAATTCCACAAAGTACTGGTACATTATGTATCTCCTCTTATAGATGGGTGATGCTTGAGGTAGGTACGGAAACATACGCGAAATTTCTCGAACTCAGCTACACAGACACCGTACTTGAGCATGTCGGTTGGAACCGTTCCCACGGCATTACAGTACGGTAAGCAATGAGGATTCACGCCCTGAAAGGTAATATTAGTGACAGAGAAGAAGCTGTAATAAATCTACAAAATGAGTAACCTGCTTCAGGCAACATGCTGTGTGGTCCTGTTTGGATGAGACACAGTCCCATACATGGGGCACTGTAAGCCCTTTGGGGGCACACTCAAGTATGAACGGGATTACCTGAATGGGGAAAACTTCTATTTCAACTTACCAAACTACATAATTGACAGAACTAGGCGGTAATAGGGCTGAAGGAAGCGCTCAGCGCGACCTCCTTCGATTGCGCCATGCAGCCTTATTTCAGTCAAAATTGGGAAGGTAATGAGATTGGTATTTAGTCGTCGACAATGATTCATAGGCGTTATCCGATGTTCCAACCAGTTCTTTTAATCGTTTGTGCAATCAAGCCGACGCCAAATAATCGACCCACTAATGGATAACGAATAAGCTGAATGATGTACTAACTCTCTTCTGAAGGGACCTATGTAGATTTTATGGCTTAAGTTCAAGAGACCAAGTCGGTTAATCCTCCTTGGGGAAAAAGATGTATTAGTTAGACACCGTTCAGAGTTCACTTCGGTCTATCGCCCAATCTGATACTCCCAACCAGGATCCACTTTCGATCTATTTGACCTGTACATCGCTAAAGTCAACTGAAAAACGTTAAGATCCATAACGACCTCACTCCATTTCATTTTAATACCCTTTGCCAACACACTCTAACGACTTCACGATTTTGGTTCTGAACCAAATATGTGGCGCATGCCAACAATTCCATCATTGGTAGCCCCTTGCCTTCTTCTACTTCCCACGTTTATCTGATAAAGATACAACTCATATAAAATCTAACGGAGCATACCATTTGAGGAACGATGCTTGGAATCTGGCAGTATTTTGCAGCACATGCACGATCGATTTGAGGATCACCATGACAACATTTGATGAGTTTTTCGTTTGCAGTCGAGGCTGTGGCTGAAGCCACGATAACGGCGATCCTAAATATACAGCTCCTTCATATTGTGAATTCTATATCTCTATACATGAACCTGATAAAGTGAGATCTAAAGTGATGGATCTGTATCAATGGGATAAGCCATGCACTTAATTGCCGCTAAGAATTCTGGCCTGAGTTATGCCATTGAGCTTCACTCGACTTGTCCAAGGTTTCGAAGATTAAGAAAATAGGAGTACAGAGTACTGCACAGGGTCCATTCAATTTACTATGATAACCATCTACTTATCAAGTAAACAGCGCACCAGGCCTGCCACCACAAACCATTTGGCGCAACGTAATCCTACAATTGAAGCACATCTTCGAAATCAAAGCCAGCAAGCGAGCTAAGCCAGCTTACGCAATATCCCGAGAAGTTTTGAAGGAAAAACTTGAAGTTTCAATAATGATAGGAAGTTTCAGATCTGACGGGTCTATGGAAGCTGATGACGAGGCTAATACCTGACTTATACAGTAATTTCCCCACTCTCTGCTTCACCCTATTTCCATTCTTCAAGTCAACTTGATTATACACCTACCGAAGCCAGCATACATTACACGGATTAAAGCCTGACCGGGTTGGATGCAAGATGCTTCAGCGCCAACGTAATCCTACAACGTATCCTAGTCCATATGGAATCCTCGAGCTACCAGGTCGTATGAAAGATAAATCGATTGAAAAATTCTCCTTAACAAATCGATTTCATTGGTTCCCCCCCCCCCCCCCCCCCCCCCCCCCC